CTTTATTTGGCTTTTCCCAAGAGAACGTAGTCAGTCTGGTGAGATTATTATAAATAGATAGGCAGCAATAAAGAAGTAACTGATCAGCTCACAATGTCATTCTGATTCCTTGTGCCTGACCTCCCAGTATCAGGGCATTCTAATGAATGTAATTTACTGCCTCTGGAATTGCAAGCAACATTCCTAAATACCAGCTAATAGGAGCAAGGAGTAAAAGTCCATTTCTCTCCCACCATGTTTATAATGGGGAATTTCTTGAAGGAATCTGGTTGGTCACCTTACAATTCATTCACACTGTTTTTTACAAAACCTTGAAGGTTATATTTCTCAAACAGAAATGTCAACCAGCATTTTTATCAGAACAGATTTTTCTTTCTTTCAAAACTTTCTCAAGAAAGAAGCTACTTTAAAATGTCACAGTTGAATCTTACAGTTTGTGTCGGAAAACAACTTATGGGAGAATAGCATGTTTGTGGTTAGAAAAGTCAGACTTTTAATGGATGGGAAGTTTCTCTTAATTAGATTATTAAGAAGAGTCTGTACATTCTCTTTGTCTATTTATTTACAAACTATGTTTTTCTGAATTCTTCATGCAAATTTATTGCTAAACCAAACAAAACAAAGGTATTCTTTTACAACTGTGATTGAGTCTGGAATTATGGTTGAAAGTAGTGCTGATCATTAAGCAGGTCATCACCTGACCAATGTGATTTTACAATATTTTTTGAAGCAGTCATTAAACAAACACCACAGTTGTAAAGTGAAGCCATTTTCCACAATGGGTGGTTGTTGTTTTTTTTTGTTTTTGTTTTTTGCTGAGAACCAGAAATAAACACTGGTTTCGATTAAAAATAAATAAATTGCAATCACATGACCATGGGATGCTGAAAAGGCCATAAGTGTAGATTGGATGCCAATCATCCAAAATGTGATCACTTGAGAGCAAATGGTGGCTAGACCACCAGAAGTTCAAATCCAGGTTATAAGTACCTTTTTTGATGTCTGTTATAACTTCAAATAGTTGCTAAACAATGGGTCATGTCAAAAATTATCTGTGTTATTTAAGTATACTTTTACATCACAGAACAGAGTCTAGTAATCAGTTACAGTAGTAAGACTACCAGCTCTGGGAATGCATCAGCAGTTTAGGAAAAATTGTATACCATTCTTTTTATGCTGAAGTCATAATATATGTGAGGAAATAGAGGGACATTATTTGGACTTGTTCTATATTCACCTCATTTTGTTCTAATACATGCTTTAATGTTAATAATGAGGTGGGCAGGAAATAGTTCAATATATCTATATCTTAATAGGAATGCTTGTTGCTGATAATAGTTAATAGATAATATTAAGTTTGGCTGTGAAATGTAACCTAAATCATATAATCTGTGTGTCATAATTGTAGAGATGTGTTCATGCTATGTAGAAACCATTTTACAAGAAGTGTCAGTGTCAACTAAAAGTCACAGATGTTGTAAGATAGCACCCGTGTAGAGAGGTGTGGTAAGACAACCGTTTGTATGAACTTCTCTCTTTTAGTGTGTTAAAGGTAGATAAGAAGTCATCTATTAGGTTAAGCGTGGGCGGCAAGCTGTATAAAAGTGACACCCTCAGAGTAACTCAGGGTTCAGAATTTGTCATGTGAATGCTCTGAACCATTGTGCATAAATAAAGCCTGTTTTCTCCAACCCTTCGTGGTCTTGTCTTCTGATGTAAGTATCGTGGTTTTTGCCACAACAATAAGATTTTGGGAAGAGTAATAATGTGTAAAGGTGTTAATATGATATTGAATTATGTAACAAAAGCTTGGATTTATTTTTTGATTTATGACTATAGTTCTGTGTGGATATAGGCATTTGCAGTTAGCAACAATGATGCCAACATGACAAAACTGATGGGATATCATGACACCCGATTGGCCTTTTGCAATTAATTGCGACATCACGATTTCACAAGAGAAGTGTTTACATCACAAAGTTGTAACACACTTTTTGTTATTTGCCTCATGATAGATACTCATGAAAATTTAAAAACTGAGTAACTTTCACATACCTATTGTTTTTTGTTTTTTTTTTGCTGTAAATTATATCAGTATATATGAATGGGATGAGTGGGATAGAATAAGATGGAATAGGATAGGATTCTGTTTTGTAAAAGTCCAAATGAAAATTTCTTTGGGGAAAAACTTCTAATTCTGGCACATAAAATGGTTGTCTCTGAGATCTCATGGTAATAAGCAAACATAAGTAAATTCACAATACATATTTCAACAAAGTATCCAGTGGACAACATAATGGAGACTGTTTTTCTAATGAAAAACATTGCATAATGCACATTGCTTGCATTTGGCAATCAAAAAGCTCAAGAGTGTAACAACAATATGTATAATGTTCATGCACAATGCATATTTTGCATTTGGCAAACTGCCTGAAAAAGAAAGCACAACAGACACAAAACCCTTAGGAACAACAATTGCATTTAAAAAGTAGAATTAAAAATGGATTCGAATTACACATTCTAAGATCTCATGCACACATACCTTGCGTGACTACCATCTATTGGTCTCAGCAGAGACCAACAGAAGAGAGCCAGAGAGAACAGTAATGACATACTGTATATAGCTAGACTTTAAACTCGTCAAGTCATAAAATATTCTTAAGATGGTAGTTCTGGGTAAGTAACACAAGAAAATAGTTGAGGAAAGAAGAAATATCCCTGTCCGTGGAAATGAGGTTAGTCATCAGAGTGGAGATTCTTATTCTTTTACTAATTAGTAAACCTTGTGAACTACATATTTTATATAAGTCAGGGAGTAAAAAGAAAATAAAAGAGAACAAAGTCTAGAGCAAAATAAATGTCTTCAAACAAACTTGCTGGATTCTGTTAATGTAATCTTACAACAAAGCAGAATTATCTCATTTGGTCATGTTTCCTGTCTGGGGTACTGGGATGGTTGACATCAGTCTTGGAAATCTGGTAGTACAAATCTCCCACTATCTGTCTCAAAAGTGCTTTTTCAAAAGGCAACTGGACTGTTTTTTTTCTTGAGGAAGCAGACAATGCTTCATCGGTTCTGGCAGTATGTTGGGGGCTATGGAGGGATTAGTTTGATGAAGGGTCATGATTCTTTGCAGTCATCTGGTCTTAACACTCTCCCTGAGAGCTCTTGAGGCCATTGGGGGTTTATCTTCTCAAGAGCTCTCAGGGAAAGGGCTAAGACCAGATTGCTGGAAAGAAATAGGTATGAATCTTCCAACCGCCACTGCCCCCCATCCTTCTATCAGAACTAATCCCTCCATATCCCCCACTACTGTATACTGCCGGAACTACTACTTCTTCCTCCTCAAGGAAAAAAACAGTCCAGTTGCCTTTTGAAAAAGCACCTTTGAGATAACTATGACCTGGATGACTGAAAATCTCCACAGACATCTCCCAATGACCCTTATACAGCCTGAGAAGTTAGGGAGGTTCCTTTCTGATGAGTGTCTTTGCTTATGCAGTTGTGGACTATGCCCTGTCTTATCTGATTGTTCTTTGGCAGCATCTCTTCCTCCCACCACCAGCTCCCAAGGTCATTCCATGTAATGACGAGGCACATTAGATGATTTGTACCTGCTTCTCTGGATAAGAATCAGTATCTTAATCTATTATCTCCTAGATTTCAGGGCAAGAACAGTGCTTCCTTGCTCACTTGCCCACACATTATTGTAGATTGTATTTAGCTCTCTAAATATGAAAAGTGGCTCAGATAGCAATCTATCCTGGGAGACCATCTCAGGTTCCACAGCCTTTTATTGAATTTAATTATGTGTGTCTCTGCTTTAATCACAGTTGTTTAAATTTTGTTGTCATTTTGGAAGGACTATGAAGATGACCTAATTAAAGGACATTAATGGTTAAATTGATGGAACTGGAATGTATTACTATATCTCTGACTCTGCATGAACCTAGAAGTCAACTATGTAAAATCTATATACCAATCTATGCAAGATGACCCAAAATCATGACTGCCCTTTCATTAGGCAAAATGAGTGCATGTAGAAGCCCACAGTGTATAACTCCATCTACTCACAGTCACACAGTCACTACCTTCTTGTAAATCCCCAAAACCAGTGAGATCCTTCTTATTATGATCAGGAACAGCACATTCTCAATGACTGTATCTAAAATCTGGAAGTCATTTGCAAAAGCCAGATTTCAGAAATCATTAAAAACATTCTGCTCTTTCTCTCTCTCTTTTTTTTATTTGAGAGGACATCTATATGATTGCTGCCTCTATCAAAAGATTGTTTAAATATTTTTATACTTTCTTTAGTATTTTCTATTATTTATTTTTATATTTTATAAATGAGAGCCAACTAAACCACTGTCAAAAATTGACAGGAATAAAACATTTAAAGTTATTAATAATATATTAGTGACTTTGTAAATAATAATTTGCATAGAAGTTTTTATTTTATTTTTCTATAAAGATTTTATTGTTTTTTCCTTAAACATATGTTAATTTTTCCAATCAACAAGTTGTCTGGAGTTTACTATGCTAATACACGTTCAATTACTAATGCTTCATTCTTGCATAGAAGTTTTTAATCGACATAGCAAAAAATACAAACTAAACTAAATAATAAAAGGAAAGTAAGCAAGAAGTTAAAAAATGCAAATGAAAAAAAAGAAAGTAAAAGAAATAGGTGAAAGAAATAAAGGCTATGATAAAGAAGTGGCTTCCAGCCTTTATCATACTGATTATAACCTAATATAACTTCTCCCTCAACAATAGATTAGTGACTGTCATAAATATTATTGTATACAGTATTATTGGGGCAAGATCAATGTGTATTTTATATTCTTTTTTACCCGTATAGAAAGTACATATTAACACATCTTTTTTCATATTTCATATTTCTGAGTTGTATGAAATAAAAAATCTTTCAGATGATATCTGAGACATGTTTATGTATTGCTTTCTCTTTACCTATCTTGTCATCCTCTGCTTCCAGCTTTCTTTGGGAAGTATCTAAATGAATATAATGGTTCCTATGTGCCTCCTGGCTGGAAAGAATGGGTTGGATTACTTAAGAATTCTCGTTTTTACAACTATACACTCTGCAGAAATGGAATGAAGGAAAAACACGGATCTGACTACACTAGGGTAGGTCCTATTGATTTATTTTAATTTCATCCCCTTGACCCTAACTGTGAGATTACCCCAGATACATTATGGATTTAGTCTAATTAAAGTATTTATTTTATAGCTGAGAGGCACTGCTGGTAATATATATAAACTGTAATCCATAAACCTGCTCTTTAGGCTGTACATTATCATTTTACTTCTGGAGGGATATATGATTTAAAATTTATTTAGTGACAGCAGGCAATTCCTGAGATGGTAAACATTCCAATATGCTTACCAGCTGAGAAATAGATTTGATTGTAGCTTGACTCATACTGTTTTGGCTGGTGTTCTCTACTTTAATTAACATACAGGGTTATATTCTGTACTGCTGTATGCCTGTAATTCTTTTATTGCAAAATCATTGCTTCCGTGGTTGGGAGATATTGCTGTTGGTCAATTCTAAATCTGTCACTAATCTCTAAATTCAACATTTAGTTACAGGGCTATGAAAATGAGATCAAAAGTACATTTGTGATATAATCTCTTAATTACAATGATCCATTAAAAGTAAAGCTATTTGGAATGTAACATTCATATAGCATTGCATTCTTTTATTATTCATTAAGAGTAGCAAAACAGGAATGGGTATATTCTTGTATGCATATTCAGATTTAATAGTGAACAAATCTTAAGTTTCAATCACGAATGTTAAATTAATAAAGGAGTGCTTTTAAAAACAACTGATTCTCTATCATGTAGAGACCTTTTTTCTTTTAATAGCAACTCCCTTGGGTGCATCACAAGCTATTTTTAAAACTATCTCTAGTTTCAAAAGAAAATAAGAATGTGTCTACCTATTTAAAAATCCATCTTCTAATGCAACTCTCTTGTTTCCAAATGTATTACTGAGCTCAATTTAAAGTGCCAATTTTAATATTTAAAAACCTAAGTAGTTTGAGATGAGGTTACCTTTTCTTCTATATTTGTTTTTGATCTTTAAAATCTTCAGAATCTCTGCTTCATTATTTAAAGCCAATCAAATAAACTGAGGTAGGTTATTACCAGATGGAAGAATATTCTTGGATATGGAATAGTCTCCTTTGAGTTGTTTATTTGGCAGTATTCTTGAGGTCTTTTCAGTTGCAAGGCCCTTTACACATTGCATATAGCCTCAGACTCATTTTTTAAAAAAAAGTATGGTTATAAATTTATGATTTTCATTTTAAGAGCTTCTGTTTGCATTTACCTTGTTGTAATACAATCACATTTAGATTGTATTATTTTGCAATCAAGTAGTTTTATATTATGGATCAGCAAATAAATGTTATTAATAAATCTTCTCTGTCTAGTGCCATCTAGATGTGTTATATGAGATAGAGATTATTAGAATTGTGACCTAACATATCTAGACATTACTGTTAAAGGGTGTTGGAAGCTGGTGTTGCTCAATGACAGCTGGTCCAAGATTCCAGGAAGGTGTCTTTTCCAAACAGCCATGAGATAGCACAATATGCAGTTTCTTAAATTTAAAAATGGATTTCAACATTGTACTGTGATCCTTCTCAGTTTTTTTCTTTTTACAGTACATCATTAAATTTTAAACTTCTTTTCACTAGACGAGACATACCCAATTCCTGCAACTATTCTTCATACCTTTTACTCTCTAGCCCACTAATCTTTGTTGCTCTTCTCTGTTCTATTTTCATAACCTCAACAACTTTTTTATATTGTGGTGCCGAAAACTGGATGCAATGTTCCAAGTGTGACTATATTCCAAGTGTGACTGTACTAAGTCTCACAGTTACTGGCAATGAGCCAAATTTGACCTAGCCATAATAACATCTAAGCAATAGTCAAGCTTTATGTTTTGCTGCAAATCTAAGTACACCATAATTTTAAGTCACAGTTTTATATCCAGAACTCAGATTTAATATTTTTACTAAAGTAGTGAGTTTCACAGCATATGGCCTCCTGTTTTGATGGGTCCTATGAGTATAACATATTCTCTGTAATTTTAAGGTGACAAGACAGTTGTGTGTTTCGTTGTGTCATAACAGCTGTGTCAAAGCTGAAAATACCAGGGCTATACCTACTTTTCCAGCTTTCTCCAACTGTTCTGTTTTCTACAGTCCCTCCCAAACATGGCATAATAGTCCGTTTTCTTACTTTGACCCCTAGTATGCAAGTGAGGAAGAACCAAAATGGTTAAGAACCTGGTGGAAGAACAGATAGTTTTCAAGCAACATAATATATCTTCTCAGAACAATGTACTTAAGAAAATACATTTGAAGTAGAACAGTTGCATATATAAATAACTATTGATTTTCTCTTCGTTCTTAAATGATAATTTTATATTTTGATTTTGCTTCTCTTAAGTTGTACTTAAACTTATGTACCACTCCATAGTGCTTTACAGCACTCTCTAAATGGTTTTTAGAGTCAGCATATTGCCTCCAACAATCTGGATTGTCATTTTGCCGAAGAATGGAAGGATGGAAAGTTTAGTTAACCCCAAGCCATGTCAGGATCAAACTCCAGACTATGGGCAGAGTTAGACTGCAATACTATATTGTAACCACTGTTGTGATCCTTATCTTCATTTCATTCTTTCAGGACTATCTGACTGACTTGATCACCAATGACAGTATTAGCTTTTTCCGAATTTCAAAGAAGATGTATCCCCATCGGCCAGTTTTGATGGTTCTTAGTCATGCAGCCCCACATGGTCCAGAAGATTCAGCCCCTCACTATTCTCATCTCTTCCCCAATGCTTCCCAACACATGTAAGTAAACAAAAACAATACACAGCAATTTTATGCAACTCCAGAATAAAGTAATTAATATTTATTATAAATTAAATACATTTTGGGGAAATAATTAACAGATTATTTATATCTTGTCATTACTTTATCCTGACTGCAAAAAACAGAATAGCTCAGTATATTTTCCAAACTCTGTAATTATTTGCTGTTCGAGTATAATGTGTAGTTATGCAAAGTTTCCTTTTTGGTGTGGCAGAAATATTGTCAAGGACTGAAAAGTAATTGGGATAAATAGATACATAGGTTAACAATAGATAATAGGATAGGGCTGAGATTTAAATTGTATTATTTAAGTATGGTTATCTAGACGTCAGGCCTATTGACCACAGACAGACTTGGTTTGCAAATACATTAACCTACAAACCATCAAATCAAAGTTACCCAAATAAAGCTTAAAATGTGCAAATCTGTCTTTAACTGGTTAGGTGTGTTGGGTAAACACAGCAATAGAAATTTGCCCCTACTAATTGCATATATTGTTTTTATTTTGTAGATGAGGTACAGTATGTAAGTGTGTGTGTGTTATTTGGAAGATATAATGTTTTAATAAAGAGATACAGATTCAAAATTCCAATAAAGAATTCACTGAAATATTGGAAGGGAGGAAATATGTAAGTGCATATGTGATTTCTTAAAGAATATTGAAAGGTTAACTATTTTGCTGAAAGAAACCATTACAATATGTAAAGTCATAACTTTAATATAAAAATAAATCCTCATTTCAATTTCTACATGAAGTTTTATTTAGATTACACAAATAGTTTCTTGAGTTCTCTAAAAATCTTTTTCCACCATAGCTGGATAGGTTTTATAAGACACATAGAACTGCAGATGTAAACTGTATAGTTTGGCTGCTTCTCCAAGGTCAAATATAGAGGATTTGCAGAGCAAAGGATTTCTTCCCAATCTTATCACTTCAATGATGGATTTGAAGTGGTTATTTTTGTTCAAATTCCAAAGTCGTTATATGTTGTGTATTTAAAAATAACATGGACAATTCTTTTAAGCATAAGAGGGTTGCATTTGTAGTAATCAAAGAAGATTGTAGACTTTGGATGAATTAAGCAGCGGGAGGCTTCAGATGAGCCAGGAAATCACAAAGGATATAGGAAAAGGAATTTACCAAGTGTTTTAGATTCATTCAGGGCATTACATAGCAACAGTTTCCATAACCATCAGCATTTTCAAAGCAACGCTGTTGTTATCCTGTCTCAATAACATTCTGAAATCATAGGGAACATTAGCCATGTAGGAGAATAATAAGCAACCTTTTCTCCTTGAAAAAATAAACCTCCCTTCCTTTTCTCTGAACACTATCTGAATCAGAAAACCTATATCAAAGCATTCCATTTGCTGAAACACCATTAAACAAATTTCTAAGCCCATTCAGGATGCTGGAAAACCAGAGACTAATTTTAACCTATTCTAAACATTTTTCCTATCGCCTCTATTCAAACAAATAAATGCATAGGATATTTGCATGTAATCCTGATATATTAGTAAAGCTCAGGCTTTCAAGATACATAAAAATAGCACCTGGAGTCATAGTCATTACAAGTGTTGACTGCTTCTTTCCAGAAATCTGGGCTTAGAAAAATTGGAAGACTCAGCATTTATTCCTCTATGTCTTTTTCAGGCATGCCTGCACAAAGTCCTAGGGAGTTCACCAGGACTGCTTAAACTATTTAGACTTGACGTCCTTGATGTTCAGCCAGGATAGTCTCCAATATTCCACTGTGCCAGGCATCCAAACTTCTTTCCAGCTTCCTCTTCCAGATGTACCTGTCTTCTTTCTTGCTTTTGTCATTGGGTAGGATGCAAATTTTGCTAAGCATTTAGGGAGAATCATTACATGGTACTTGTGCAAGCTGGAGGTAATGGAAATTACACAGTTTAAAGGATTAGAACATGGCTTACAAAAGCTCATTCAAGTCTGGCTTACTTTGCAATAAAAATAAGAATTTAATATAGCTTGTTTTCATGGTAACTACTTATGGAGTCATATTGAAATTCTGCTAAATATTCAACTGCCAAATATTGTTAAGAGAGTTTGTAAATTGGATCCAAAAGCAGACTGGCACCCAATCCATCTCACACACCAAAGGTGTCACATGCACTGTTCTGTGGGTGCCCAGAATTGCGCTGTGCATTCTCATTTTCTACCACTGAAGCTTCTAGATACTTTTCAAGGGTAGCCCCATGTAGAGCATGTTGCAGTAGTCCAAATATCACTTGCATCCTACTTTCCTTTCTCAAGGAGAGCAGAATTATATTTTAAAAAACAGGCTTTCTGATTGACCCTTTTCCTCTGTGACAGTAGTAGTCATCCTGTAGGTGCATGAGGGCCTGGGTATTGGACTCATTTCAAAATCTTTCTGTGGGAAATCAGTTCAGGCCATTGGTTGAAAAGAAAACAGAACATACATGTCCATAGCTATAGAGAGAATAGTTTTTCTCTGGCTTCCTAGACTAGAGTATCAGGAGGAGGGAAGGGACAACCGAGGAAGAGTGGCAACATGCTACCATAGCTTATTTCAATAACCTAGTGCAGTGATGGCGAACCTTTTAGAGACTGGGTGCCCAAACTGCAACCCAAAACCCACTTATGCATCATTGAGTGCTGGGTGGGCGTGGCCCATTGGGTGGGCATGGCTGCGGTGGTAATGGCAGACTGGGTGGGACTAAAAAGTTCAATCAATCAATTCCAACTTTGCAAGATCTTTTTTTTTTTCTGTGAGAAGTTGAAATTGACTGACTGAACCTTTTTTTTTTTTTTTTTTTTGCACATAGAGGTGGAGGCCTAAAGCGATAAGGTTTTATAAAACCCAGCTGAAGGCCTAGGACTGTGGTGATGGTGCGCGTGCCCACAGAGAGGGCTCTGAGTGTCGCCTCTGGCACCCGTGCCATAGGTTGCCACCACTGGCCTAGTGTTCTAGTGTTCTTTCCTTTGGGGTTACTCTCCTGATCTGGTCTTTCTCATAGGGCTGACAATAACTGTTGCTCATGAGAGAAAGATAACAAAAAAGCATTGCATTGCTACTATTGTCAAGAGCATTGCATTGCTACTATTCAAATTCCACTCCTTTTTTCTATGACCTGCAATACTACATGCACACTGCAAAGGAACAGAACTTGTCTGGCAACATTGCTTTCATTATTTTGACTAAATAATTTGTCATAATTATAAGGAATCACCTGTGTGGGAGGTGGGCAGCCATATAAATTTGTACAATAAATAAATGTTTTTCCTGCTTGCCCTCACAAATTACCCCTGAAAGTAATAGAAAATTCAATAGAAAGATTGTTTCCCACCTCTGCCCAATAGCACAAGGATATTTTTATTTATTTTATCATATTTATAGATCATATTTAATTACCTCCCATCTCCCTGACAGAGTGACTCTAGATGGTAAACAAATACTGTAGAAATGAGGAACTTTTTTAGGAATGAATATCTACGAGGATTTGAAACTGGAGTTTAAAAATTTCAGCTGATGCTGAACTGAATCTCCATTCTATATTGAATGTTGACATGTTGTTTTTGCAAGCCTTTTGCAAGTCACAATGTGTTCTCCAAAATATTGACATATTAGGGGGGGCGGCATACTATGTTTATTTTATTGGCTGTTAATTATTTCTGTCTCTCTAGCACACCCAGTTATAATTATGCTCCAAACCCAGACAAACACTGGATAATGAGATATACAGGTCCTATGAAGCCTATTCACATGGAATTCACCAATATGCTACAGCAGAAACGACTTCAGACACTCATGTCTGTGGATGATTCTATGGAGGCGGTAAGATTAACAATCTCAGTCCTCAAATCTTAATTTTAGGCCCTAAGTTCCTGGATCATTCAAGAAGCAAGTGAAGTTTTGAGAAACTAATCCAAGGTTTACACAACTGTAGAAATTCAAGTTTCTTCTTTTGGTTTATAAGGTTGCATTGGTCTAGGAAGAACAGAGGCACTAAATTATAAAACTGTTACAATAGCAAATATTTCCTAGTATCCATTATAATTGTAGTCAGAGATACACATAAAAATGGAATAAGAAAAGTAGTCTGCATTGGTGCTCTGAAATTTAATAGCACTTGATCAGTATTTCAGTCCTTTTAGATGAAATGGCAGGAAATAAAAGGTGTTTTGATATTGATATATGTTGAGTAGAGGTTATTCAACAAACATCTGGAAATATCCCTAATTAATTAAATCTGGAAGTTAGACTATTTCTTACAATTATATTCATAGTCACACAGACACAAGTGAAGAGATCCAATCAGCAGAGGCTCTTGAACAGGAGAAAGGGATGCTATTTCTTCTAGTTTCCTGAAATAGTTCTAGAGGAAGCCATTGTGGGGGGAAAGGGTGAAGTTTCTTAACTTCCTTGCTCTAGAAATGAGGAAAACTGGCCTTGCACTTCAAAGCCTTTAAATACTTTTTTTTCTAAACAATACATTAACGATATGTTAACAATACATAGGAGTTTTTTTTTTCTGAAGCTCTATGTAGGAAGACTACAAATGTCTCAAGCAGTGTGTGAATTGAGATAGACGTTCACTTGTGGGAGTTCTCAAGTCCTCTTGTTGCCAGAGAGGAATTACAAAGAGTTGATCTACTCACTACTCATTCTCCATTCTGACATGGTTGCCAGCTCCAGTTTTAGCAGAGCCATCTTCAGTTGGAAGCCTTAGTTGGTATCTTCTGTGAAAATTGATGCTCTTATTCTCAAGTTTATAAAGCTGCCAGATAAACATGGAGGAAAAAACAATTTACTGCTGCTTATTTGACCTTCTTATAATTTGTTTTAGATTAAGTATAACACAGTATTCCATGACAGTGAAGATTAGGATTACATTGAGGCTAATTGTGATTACATTATCACTGATTTGTTCTAGAATGTTATAATCTTTGTTAATGCTACTGTATTTAAGAAAATAGTAGTCTTGCAATTTATCATAGTGGCTATTCTGCTTGAAAATAATCCCTAGTAAATTTGTTGACATAAAATACATACTTATAAATAAGGATGAGACATTTTAAAATCCTATCAGTCAGGCAGACTTAACCTTCTGTTTTATCACAGATGGACTCCAGAAATAGTTATGCTTTGACCTGCTTTTCTATATAAAAAAATGAAGGTATCTGGGTCATCATAAAATGTAACAGTTAGCATTCCTTGTTAGCTAAAGGAACAGTCTTTTATAAAAACAAGAAATACAGTTTGAAGGAAAACGTTTCACCTAAGATACGTTAACCAAAGCAGAATTAAGAATGCATAATTCCATAAAATGTAGTTATTGATAACAATAAATCATAACAATTTGTTCTGTGTATATTCCATCTCAGTTGAGGATAGCTGACCTTTTAAATAACCAAGCCATTATGAACTGAGAAACCATTAATCCATTTTGGACCTCAGCCCTATTATAGAATTTTGAGGACTAAAACCTCAAAAATATGTAAGACTGGGGAGAAAAAAAAACTGCTATATACTGTGATGATTATGGGAATCATACCGTTTTGTTCCTATTTTAATTATCTCTGGGTAAAATTAGGCATAGTAGAAAAGAGATTTCATATTAAGTAACATGAACCCAAATCCCTTCTATTGTTTTCAATTTCATGTAACAAGACACAGAACAGTTAACTTGCCCCCTTAAGTGTTGTTAAAGGATTTGAGAACATACTTTGGTCAAACAGAAGAGTAATCTTTGGCTTGTGCATTTCATGAACAAATTGTTTAAGTTGGCCCCTATAATTACAGTTTTATGCTTTTTCAGGTTTAGTGCATGTTCTTTTTAGTGTGTTGCATCTGCTTAATGTATAAATGTGTATTTTGATTTGGGAGGGAGTGTAAATTGTTACATGGTTTGCTAAATGACAGAATATTCTGCAGCATAATATATTAGCCTTCCATGATGTTGTATGTTCCAGAAGAGCTAGACAATAACTTGTATCATTCCCAATAGCATGCCATATGTTGTTCAAAAATTCCACAGATCCAGTAGATGAAGGCAGCTCAGAGCTTAGTCCTGAAAATATATCTTTTGCTTTCATTTATTTATTAAATTTATTTGCCATCTGTTTCACCGTGGGGCTACTCTAGAAGACTTAGAGCAGGGGTGTCAAACTGCCGGCCCGCGGGCCGGTTGCATCATACAGAGGCGTGCCCACCCCAGCTCCGGCTAATGCAAAAAAAGTTGTGATACGTCGCAACACGTCATGTGATGTGGCTAGTTTGACACCCGTGGCTTAGAGTAATAAAAGTGAAGAATAATGAAAGACGTGTAAACAGAAGCAAAATAATAGAACAATAAAGTAAACAATGACAAAGGAACAGTTATTGCCACTTTCTTCATTCTTTGTTTATAGTTTAATTTGGTTGAAAGTTTAATTGTGCAGATAGCAATGTAAGTATTTATTGCCTTGATTGTCTAACATTTTTTTTCTTTAAAGAGAACCTGCCAGAGGGGAGAAAAAAGGTAAAGAATTTTTAAGTATCAAATACTTTTAATAACAATGGAATAAATTTCCATAATAACAATGGGATTATTCTTTTTTTAGTCTAGGACATAGTGTCTATGAATATATTTATTTTATTTATGAATGTGTTTATTTTATTTTTCAGATTTATAATACATTAGTTGAAACAGGTGAACTGGAAAATACCTATGTAATATACACAGCAGACCATGGCTATCATATTGGGCAATTTGGACTGGTGAAAGGAAAATCCATGCCATATGAATTTGACATCAGAGTTCCTTTCTATATACGTGGTCCAAATGTGGAGGCTGGATCCTTGTAAGTTAATGTGCTTGGTTTCTACAGGGGAATGAGCTGAATCAACTGGTTAATTTTGCATTGAGTAATGTACTTCTGTATGAGTGCTTAGAATCAGGATAGGCACATACAAAGATTTTTGTTATGGGTTGAATGTGTTTAGGGCTTCAGTAGTCAGGAAACTCAGTAAAGAAGCTAGGAATCCTGGTAAAGATCTTCCTATTGAATATTCAAAGATCTATGAGACAGTCAGGCATCTAAATGTAATAAGGAAGAATTTGTACATGTGCCAACATTATTTCTTACTTTACTTCTTCTTGGATGTAGGATATATCTGCATAAAACTAATATTTTGCTGGCATTCAAGCAATATACAAAACATCTGTCTTTAATAAGATGAAAGGTAATATATTTCATTATTAGGTTCTCCTATCATAGATTACCTCTTTGTTATGTATCCTCTCTGAAATTCATCAACTTGCGACTATTACTTTTGTTCTATCTACTATACAGTCTTGAAGCTGCCATTCCTCTTCCCCTCGGCTTACCTTTTCATCAGGGGTTATTTTTCCAAGAGTGATATCTAGGAAAAGAAGTTGCAGCATTGTACTTTAGTTGACTTTCCTTTAGTTGATTTTCCTAGTGCCAGTTTCCCTAATTTCTGTTATAGATATGTTCTTAATAAGCTAGAAGCATGTGGAAGGAATAACAGAATTGTGGATGGTATATTTCCCCCCGGATTTTAAAACCTTTACACTGCAATATATGTCCTTAATTAAAGGATAATGTCTGAATGTGCAAAACAGAGCAGCCTTCCAGACTAATTTTCCTCTCCATCCACATAGGGATAAATGACTCAGTTTTTCATCCATTCACTTTGCACATGTTCAGTGTCAGATCTATTCATCAGATTTCATTTTTTTCCAAGCACACATTTCAGTGTTACTCAGGGCTTTTTTTGTCACAGAACGCCCAGAATGGAGTTCCGGCACCTTTTTTGGATGGAATCTTGTAGGGTAGGCAAGACGGGTTGTATGACATGTGTGAGTTCTGGCACCTTTTGTTTTTACAAAAAGAGCACTGGTGTTACTCATCTTTCTCATATTTCCAGTTAAAATGTATAGTTAGGCCAAGATGTTCAGTGAAGGTTAGAGTTTAAGTGAAGCTTGGTTTGACTGAGGTTATACTACCACAAAAGGCAGATCTATAATTTGGGAGTTCTTCTTGACCCCGGTTTCCACAGGATTTGCAGTTTATGTCTATGATAAGGAATGTTTTGCAAAAATTACTTTGCAACAGCTATCCATGATTTGGTTACAATCCATCTTGATTACTGGAAATTACAACAGGTGCAAAATGTATGTTAACCAATATTAAGTAGAAGAATCACACGATGCCTATACTGAAAGATAACCATGCTGACCAAGCCCAGTTTAACCTTTCAAGCCTTGAGGTTCTGACTTTTTAAGGCAGTGTTTCTTAATCTGCTGGCTGGGAAATTCTGGGAGTTCATTCATCTGAAAGCTACTGCAGTTGAGAAGCATTAATTTAAGGAGCCACTTCCACTATTAATTGGGCCTGGTTACTTAAATAAGGGGTGTCAAACTGCTGGTTGCATCATATGGAGGCCGTGCCCACCTCAGCTCCGGCAATGCAAAAAAAGTCGCGATACGTCACGACACATCATGTGATGTGGCGAGTTTGACACCCTTGACTTAGATCATCAGGAGAGGCCCTTTTGAAGATGCCTTTGCTTCCTAAAACTCAGTTGCCTGGTGCAGAGAAGAGGCCTTCTCCTGCATAGAGTACTCTCCCTAAGAAGGAGCATCTGGCCCCCACTTCCCTAGGTAGCAAAATGGCAAAAAAAAAAATGTTTAATTGTTTAGGATTTGTTTTAAGCCACCTTGACTGCTTATTAACAAATAATACATATCCAAATGATACCCTACCTAAGGCAATAAAATAAGGCAACAGTTCTATCTATAAAATCTCCACACTGACTATTCACAAAATTTTCAATTTAAATGAATTTCATCAGGCAATAAAACAGATCAAGAACAACAAAATAATAGTGTGCCTATAATCGGATTAAAAGATGGAGCAAGGAGACCATTGAGCAAGGAATAACATTAAAGGAAGATATGGCTAAAGGATCTGACTTCCCTTATACTACCTGGAGGACTCGAATAGGTTGGGAGTTGGAGTGCCTAAACGTCAAACCAATATGCTCAAGTGGAAGCTCTTAGTGGATAACAATATGCTATGTGAATATGGAGAGACACAGAACCCAGCCCATCTGCTGGTATGTCGGCTACTACCGATAATGACTTATTTTGGGCCGACAAAGCCAAGAAAATGGTTTCATTCTGGCAGTTTAAAGTTTGTTTTAGACATGGAAGAAGAAGACCAATATACTTCTAAGAACACTGATACTATCTCCTTAGCCAACATCTGATACTATGTATGTTATGTATAGTAAGGAATGTTATTCAGTGACTGAAACAGTACCAGCCACATTGGTAAGCAATAATTGTTCGCTGGGGAGAGGGGGAGGGAGGGAGGGAGAGAGAGAGAGCACAAGCATTGGCTTGGAATAATTTGATGAGCTTGACCTAGTCTGTTAAAACAAAGGCTTCTGACTGAGCATTTTGTGAGATCTGCCCTCTTCAGTCCAGGGACTCCAAATTCTCTGAATAATCAAATCTGATGCGAGTTATAAATCAAAATGTCTAAACAGCACCAACCTAGAGAAGGTGGGTGTAAGCAGATACGCCTCATTTTAAACAGTTGATTTAGTTTTCTAGCTTCCCTAGAGCTCTTTTTTAATCAATGTGAGAAATCTTGTACACTGAATTGCATGTTCTCTTGACTAATTCAAAATTAACAAAACCTATGTCGAGATAATTCTGACTCATACAAACATTTTAAAGTTCATAAGTTAATGGAAAGTTCACAGACATCAAGAAACCCCGTTCCCTCCCATGAAGAACTCAGATAATTAACCTGCAAACAAAATTAATGATTTTGGTCTAGGGTAAGCAAATAAGCTTATCCATCGCCTTAGGTAATCAAATTTCAGTCTAAATCCCCCAGGAAATTTGCAACCCCCATCAAATTTGTTCAAATTCCCCAACCAACAGTTTGAAAATGCCAGCATTAAGGGATTTAAAGACTCCAACACAACCTTGACTGGAGGAAGGGACAGGAATATTGTTTTCACCAATTTACCCTGCATCAGCTTTCATGCTGCTGCCAACAGTCGCCCAGTTCTTCAGATCAGCTTTCAGAAGGCACAGGAGGAAAGAGGAGTAGTAAAGATTGCCTCCTTCATGTCTTATAAAAGACATATCATGTTTGTGTGTGTGTGATGTTCTAGAACCAATTAAAGGAGCACCCATTCCTATATATTATTAACCTTGATTCTTCAGAACATCCCGAGCGTGTAGCATTTTAGAATGCTTGCCATTTACATTGCACAGGAGACTTCATTTCAGAACCTTCTTAGAATCAAAATTCATTGTTTTGTAATGCTCCCATAGGTCAATCAAAATGACCCAGTAAATCAGAGTTCATCCCATTAGAGAAAATGGTAAAAAGGGAACTTATATCCACTCAACGAGGTGATTTGTCAGATACTCAATTGGTATGCTTATTTCTATACAGAGAGAAACATCCACAGCGATATTTTTGCTAACGCCAGTTGCATCTACCTAAATTAATCGCTGACTGCCACCCACTTATCATCCCTGATTTAACAGTCATTGCTGTGGTGAGGCCTCATTACCATAGGTTCATTACTTCTATCCTGAAATGTTACACTGCATTAACTGGTAATTAAAATTGAGCTGCACTTGTCAAGCAAATAAACAAATGTATTATCTTTGGTTCTTGTCGTTGTTTGTTTTCAAATCCAGTAATTTACAAATGGATTCATTCATTGTTGCAAATTAGCATATTGCTGTCTTGCTGTGTTTCTAAGCTGGAAATTTGCAAAAGAGCAGAAAACTAACCATATGGCACTATCTTTGAATTGTAATTTCTCTCTGTAAATTATGGCAAGTATGTTCTTGTCCTCAGAAGATCCCTGTAATCATTTTTCCAAGGCTTAGTTTCTTGATTTGCACTTCTTGATGGTTTCAATAAGCATCTTAGCTGGAGCTATTGTAATGTAATGATTAAAAATGATCTATGAATCAATTCCTGTTGTTTTTAATTTTACCTCTTCCATGAACTCAACTAGGTGGCCTTGGAAAAAATGCTCTTTTTAATCTCATTTTTAACTGTCTTCCCCCCGATCTGTAATATCTATTTTTATATCTATATCTGAATTGCCCTGTAAGGGCTAGATAATCACCTTAACCTGAATGCATTGAAAACATGAGTGACAGTGTCAATATTGGTGGGAGTGGTCTTGGTAATTCCTTGATTAGGCTGTTGTTTACTGTTAGCTTATTTGTCTGAGTTGATAGTTCCAACTACCAAGATCTCTCCCACCAAGAATACTATAGTAAGCCACTAATATATAAAATGAGAACCCCACTCCATTTTAACACTGATAATGCTACCTAGTTTGGTATTGAAATGTTTGCAAGAAAACAACCAGGCTTAGAGAGCACCAAGGATCCCACAGTTCAACTCTGAATTACAAATATTCTGTTCCAAATCTATTTTTGCATAAGCTTAATACTATCCAACCATATCTTCCTTACAAAAATGGAAGAAGCAAAACCTAGTGTATCTGGATTAAGTACAACTAATAATACAGTACAAGATTTCATATCTTATATAGCATTTTATGGACTTCACCTATCAATAAATAATGCTAATACAATGGCTGTAAGGATTACAAGCTATTATAACTTAAGCTTGACACTCTCCGATGCAATATAAATTCTAAATTATTACTAGTTTTCCCCCCAAATTGATAAACACTTGGATCCCCAGAAGAGTACATGGTGTAATTCTATTTCCATTACAGATTAGGCTGGGATTATTGTTCCAGCTGTCTTGTAAAGATTGTGTATATATATTTCTTTTCAGGAATCCTCACATTGTATTGAACATCGATCTTGCTCCTACAATTCTAGATATTGCTGGCCTGGACATTCCACCTGACATGGATGGGAAATCTATACTAAAACTGCTGGATTCTGAAAGACTGGTCAATAGGTAAGGGTGCAAAACATATGCAGTACACTTACATATACTGCAATGCACTGTTCTTTAAGCAAGCTATGGGAACGCTGGTTTTGATTATTAAATAGAGCATTATGGTACATTGTGTCTTGTTATATCAATGCTATTTATGTTACATAGAAATTCTTAGAGGAAAGGAGAAACACACACACACATATAAGAAATCATTCCTCTTGGTATCCGTGCTGTTTTTAATAATCCTCTCTTATTCTGGTGCAGGGGGCAAAGTTTTATGAATTTTCATGTGATCTGGGGGCATCAGTGGGAAGCAATTTTTGTTTTTCTCAATTGATACAACTCCAAATGGAGTAACCAGGGTCAACTGAATGAGGTTTTACTCCTTTTTTTGCATATAATCAAAGCCTGTTTACTAATCTTCCTATTCTGAAAATTTCTATTCCTATTAATATGCTTCACTATTCTATAGTGTCTCGATAAATGGGCTTTTTACAGAAGTAGCAATAATAAGAGAGATATAAGTAATCCTATAATGAAACTAATATCCACAATAAATATTTAGGATGATGGATGGATGGATGGATGGATGGATGGATGGATGGATGGATGGATGGATGGATGGATGGATGGACAATAAATAGGCAGGCAGACAGACAGGCAGAGACTATTGGTAATAAACAATGTTCTGAATTTTTTGCCTTAATCATGAATAGATTGATATTTGCCTAACCTGAATAGCTGTTGCTGTTATCCAAAGATTAATAATGAGACACACATGGTTACCAAAGTACTGTTGATTTCAAGGTAATATTCACAACCTTCACAATTACACATATTTTTTAAACAATAGAAGTCTTGCACATTTGTCAGATTTTCCAAGATTTTAGTATATAAGACCTTAGCTGATCTTAGAGAGACAGTCAGAATCGTACAAAATGTCAGTTTATCAACCAGGATTTCATAGAATCTTTCAATAAGTTCACCAAAATTTCATTGGCTTTAACAATCTGGCACAATTTGGAGCATTTTTATCCCAATTCTGCCATAATACTAGACTAGGTACTTCTGACTAAGATCTGTAAAATTTGCTAACCCTGCTCCAACCTGACTGATTAAAAAGATGATAAATAATTAGACTTTTCTGAGTGTTTAGATAGGTAAAATTGGTTTCAGAGAAACATTTGGGATCTTAACCAGAGTTAAAACAAGTTTGTACTAATCATAATTAAATATTGATTCAAACCTATGTTTCAGTTTTTCCAGATTCCATTTGAAAAAGAAAATGAAGGTTTGGAGAGATTCATTTTTGGTGGAACGAGGGTAAGTAGTTTGAAATTTGTTTTATTTTTTTAGAGATTTCATTGCTTAAACCACAAGTTGCTAGAATTATTGTAGTCAAAGTCAGTTGTTTATCTTAAATTATGTAATTTCTTCAGCAATATTAGGTTTTTCCTTTGGGAAGTTGCTTTACTAAAAAATGAATTTATGATTAGATTCATTTTTAATGAATGTAAGAACACATACAGTTGAATTTGATCAACATAATATCTCAGCTAATTGTTTTTTAATGAGATAGATAGTTCTTTGCCATACTTAATGAAATCAGTCTATTGTGAAAACTAGAGACTGAACCATACTATCTAGGTGAGCAATTTGCTTCCTTTATAACCATCCAGATGGTTTCTACAGGATGTCCAGAGAAAGCATAAAGACATTCTTCCTGTATTTTAGTTCTTCAATACTTGCTGTCTAGAATCACATTGTCTCCGAATAAGTAGTAGTAAATCAAAGGAACTAAAAGCATGAAATAAGCAAAAGGAAAAGAAAATACATGTAGTCCTCGATTTGCAACAGTTCAAAGTTACAACAGCAGTGAAAAAAGTGATTTATGACCATTTTTCACATTTACAACCACTGGGCTGGAATTTCCATCACTAAACAACATAGTCATAAAGCATGGCATCACATGACTACATTGCTTATCAGTGGTAGTTCTGGCATTTCCAGTCGCCAACTTTAAGGACTGGCCATAAGCTCTATTTGTTCAGCACCATCATAAGTTGAACAATTGCTAAACAAGCGATTATTAACCAAGGACCATCTGTAATTAAATAAAAGAATAAAATTTATTCTTTCAGTTTCCACTTTTCTTTTTCGAAAATATCAACAGTTCCAGGCAACCAACACTGTTTTGGTGTTTGTTTATTTTCAAACCATTTAATCTTCCCTTCATATTTGTTTTATGTTCAGTTTTCATCTTCTCTCCTTACGTGCCTATGCTACAGCAGTGTGGTTTTTTTCATGTTAGTAAATCATTTTTGTGTTCAGTCCAAAATCATTTATCACCTATTCACTCTTAGCGCCATGCCTTCTGATTTTATCAGACAGATTATCTAAATACCGTATTTCTACTGCATTCAATTATTAAATTTGTCCTGACAGTATATCAGTACCTAACAAAAGTATCAGTTCCTTATGCTGTTCATTCATGAAAACACAATATATAAGCAATACATATTAGTGTGTACAAGAATAGTGATTCCATGAAAACATAGAAACAGGCACAGAGTTTAATAATGAATACAGAATTCAGTCCAACCTCATGATTGTGATTGGTAGTAAGATTTCAGTATTGTACTTTTGTGACAAACCATCATAAATTATGTAGGTTTTTTTTCAAAGTTCTATATTACAAAAAATAAGACAACTATTCTCCATACAAGTCACTGAATTCAGCTTTGTTTTATATAAGGTGCTAAGAAGCATGCACAAGAAGCAGTGAGATCAAGAAATAAAATATGAATAATCAAGTAGCTAATGTTGTCAATTGGCTTTATGTAACAGAAAATTTGTTAGTATATTTCTGTTGTGTCAATTTCATTATTTTTCTTTACCTATTGAAGGTACTTGTATTTCCATAAGCAAAAAAGCATCTTTTTTTTTCAAGCAAGCTGTTGCACAAAAGAGACAATGAAAAAATGGATGCTCAAGAAGAAAATTTTTTGCCCAAGTACCAACGAGTGAAAGATCTCTGTCAGAGAGCTGAATATCAAACTGCTTGTGAACAACTTGGACAGGTGAGAACCATTTGTCAAAAATATTCAGCATCTTGAGACTGAAGTATCATAACAAAGGCTTAGAAATCCCTTTTTTTAATTTTCCAGGTGGAAATTGGCAGAGTTAACAGAGTAATTTTTCCTTCTGCTTATGTTGTAGTAGCAGGAAATGTATTCAAGAGTACAGCATGGAATTTGAGTGAACACTAAGAAATAGTTCCTCTTTTTTAAAATTTTCTTTCAGCTAAACAAACTTTCATATAATTTTTCATTTGGAAATTCCAGAGGTAATAAAAATATGTATGTGAGACTACTGCTTTGTCTCTTTAAAAAAAAGAATAACAGAATTTGGAAGGACTTTGGAAAAGTTCTAGTCCAACCCACTGCTCAAGCAGGCGATCCTATACCATTTCAGACAAATGATTATCCAATCTCTTCTTAAAAGCCTCTAGTGATGGAACACCCACATTTTCTGAATGCAAGCCAATCCACTGGTTAATTGTTCTGTCAGGAAATTTCTCCTTATTTCTCTAAGAAATGTGCAAAAGTTCTGCTGTTTATTCCTAGAACATTCCAGTTTTCTTGAGAGTGTTCTATTTGTCTCTAAGACTATAGCAATATCGAACCAGCCATTCTGGGAAAATGGATCCTTTCCTGGGGACCACTTCTTGTGCAGATTTATCCCTAAAATTTTAAAATTTTTGCTAGGAAAACTGCAGGGAGGTGTCTAGGTAGTCACCAGGGGTCAACACTGACTTGAAGGCCCCCCCCAAAATTGGGGGATCATCTCTTTTTTATAAATATTTCTTCAGAAATTAGGCAATACAAAAGTAATATAAAGAAATAATTGCTGATTTATTTTTTCATTTTATGACATAACTAAATAGTAAGATGATACAAGAACCCTGCCTCTCTCTTAAAAAAAATACCACTTCTATAGCTTTTTTACTCTGAACAGATGCCATTATATGGTTTTGTTGCATTGTTTTTCTACCATCTCTCTATGTTGATACTTTTATGGAGAAAGAAAAACATCTCATTGGCTTTTCCCTTTCCTGCAGTTTTTTTGTTATGCAGCAAGGTCTAGAAAAATATTTTAAAGACCATGACTAATCCTTCAGATGACTTTTTGTAAATGGTTATTTTAGCCCTGTTTTATCCTCTGATTATTACAGGCTGTTTGAAGTAAGCAGCTTTCCAAACAACATTATACATACCTTTTGCCCTTTCTCTTTCTTGTTTTAAAAGAGGTAATAAAGTCTTTCTGCAGTGTCTACAGAAAGTGAATAGCTACCCATAAATTCCATTGCCTGTACTGCTAGTAGAGAAGAAATGATGAAATTGCTGTCGCCTATGTGTTTGTTGTCAAGGAACCAAAGAATGGTTTGAAGCATTTCAGCATGAATTGGTTTGGGCACTGCAGCATAGGATAAAACTGAGCAAAAAAGAACATAACAGAACTTGCAGGCATCGAGTTGATTAGTCAGAGCACATTTCCAAATAGTGACCATTCCCATCATTCATTGAGTCACTGGCCTACACCTGTTGTTCTATCTAGACAATAAATATCTAGTCAGGGAAAAATGTGTCAGGAGACAAAAACCTTTTACAATATATTTGTACAAAATGAGCCAAATCTGTGAATGGTAGGTATTTTTTATGAATGTGTGGTACTGTTCTTTCAATATATAGTGTTATCTCATTCATTCATGGTCTTAAAAATATGTGCCAAATGCAAGCTGTTGGTATGTAAGACTGTTTTCATACTAAGCTAAACTCTGAATTCCATAATCTAATGTGGTGTCTTCTCAGAGTGAATTCTAAATCTTATTCTAAATCCTTGATATACAGAACACTTGCTAATCAGGATGAGCTCCAATCTGTTCATTCATTCAAACATTTTGTACCTAAAGCCAGTTTTGGAATGTTCATACAATTCTTTATTTTTACACGGAGGGGGTCGGGATTCAATTGGGACATACTGTGTGAATGTATTCATTTTTAATTGTTATATTTGTTGTTTTAATTTTGTACGCCACCCTGAGTCCCTAGGGATTGGGCGGCATATAAATTTTATTAATAAATAAAATAAATAAATAACCTTTCACAGGCATTTCAGATGGATACAGGTTAATCAGGATAGAAGTAGTTGCTATACTAAATGAGGTTGCATATGGCTCATGAGTTGCTCACTGATGCATTCAGGTGCTACTTAAGTGTTCATATGTTATATTAATTACTCTTTATCTATTTTGGTCTCTTGTTTCTGTGGATACAAAGGTAAATATATGATTAGGTTTGAGATCACTACAGTCCTTGACTTATGATCACAGTTGTGACAGAATTTTTGGTGCTAAGCAAGGCAACTGATTTAACAACCTTTTTTGCCACAGTTGTTAAGAGCATCACTGTGGTTGTTAAGTGAATTATGTGGTCATTAAGCAAATCCAGCTTCCCCCATTGATTTTGCTTGTGAGAAGGTCACTAGAAAGTTCACAAATGGTGATCACATGACCCTGGGATGCGTTGCCAAGTGCCTGAATTTTGATCATGGGACTTTAGAGATGCTGGGAAGATCATAAGGAGCAGCTGTAAATCACTGTTTTCAGTGTTGTGACTTTGGTCATTAAACAAAAGGTCATAAGTTGAGAACTACCTGTATATCAAAAGGGATGTCATATTTCTGTCTCTGCTGCTTCTCATCTGAAACATGATGAGACTTTGGAGCATAAGAAAATTCTTATTCTTTTTAAAACACATTGGGCCTTGGTTCTTTTAGATAGGTTCTACATATTGTGGAAACATGACAGTACATTCCTTGTGTACTGTCCTGTTAGCTTGAATATCTGGCAATACCAAATTAGCATAATGCATAGTGTTTTGAAATTTTAAATATATTGTCCCTTTACTTTCAAAATCATTATTTATATATTTACTTATGCTTACCAGATTCAGGACAGAATATTTATAGCCTAAAATGAAAAATTTAATATCTAAAATAATTTAAGTGACTTAAAATGGTGATGATTGAAATAGATAGTATTATTTCATAATATCCAGAAGAATTACTTTTTAATTCATATCTTAAAATTATTTAATAGCTCTATTTCACAAATTTCTTTGTTTTCAGTGCTATACAGCCTATCATACAAATATTGCAGCATAATGTCTATGAGATAAATATGTTCTTTTTTTAAAAAAAGTAACCAATTTCACTAACGGCGCTGCTGTGTGGCAGATTCTTAGAAACATGGCCAGCTGAGCATCATGTGAATTTCAGAGCCAACACATTTGGGAGCAGCAGACTGTGGGAGGCAATTCTAGTATTTCATTAGATTTTGGTCAGAAAATTTATGTAGCATTGTAATGTTTATACAGATTTGTTTATTCAAATACATCTGTTCAATTGAAAACTTTTAGAAGAGAATTTTGTCTGGTATATAAGAGTAATTTTATTATTTATTTACCTAAATAATTTTTGTACAGTAGCTGCTTAGCTAGGGCAATCCTAGACAGTGTACTAAAGGTAAAACAAAACCATATGATATCACACACTTAAAAAAAATACCATTTCATATCAAGATGTAATGATATATTCAGCCAATGGCCCTCACTTAACTTGCAGTCTTTATGACCTCTAACTTCCTCCTTCCCCTCTGCTTTTTATTCTTATAATTGTTGAAGACACATACTTCATTTACAAGTTCTGCTGCAGTGACTGCTAATATTATTTTGTCTACTTTAAACCCAAATAGGAAAGATATAAATTCATGGAAACGAGACAGATCTTACTATTGCCCTATTGCCAGTTATCATCTAGCCTAAACAGGAGGGATGAGCCGTATAATTCAACCCTCAGACCTGCTTTAATTCTTAATCATGTCTCACAACTCTTACCTTCTCTTATTGTACATAACCTCTCTTATTTTTCATAATAGTCGTCAGTGCAGTGAATCTTCCTCATACCCACTCACTAAATATCATTACCAAAAACTTCAAATGAAAATTGAAAGTCAGTTGACAAGTAATTTGCTCTGAAGGTATATTAGCTTCAAACTCATCAATATTGTAGCCTCTTTAAAAACTATTTTAAGTACCGTAGTATAATTTTCTAGGAAATATTTAAGCAATTTTTATGACTGTAACTTACAAGAAAAGGGTACTCCTCCTTTAGTGATCATTCGCAGTTATGATAGTGAGGAAAAAATAACTTTACAACCAATCCTCGCATTTACAAGCTTCACAGGTCTGCAAAGAAAAGCTAAAGTAAGATCATACGCACAGTTGTGTTTTCACTTAGTAACTGCTTCACTTAACTGTGTTGCCATTGCCAGTTGTTTGTTAAACAAGGACTAGATAAAATACAACTTATATATTTTTTTTCTCTTCCTTGAATTAATTTCCCATTATTTAAAACCAATTTCATCTACTTAAATGACCAAGTTGCCAATCCCAATTGTGGTTGCTAACAAGGACTACTTGTACTAATAAGTGGCTGATTATAATCAATAGTTTCATCCTTTTAAACATGAAAGATTCTTTTCACTAAATCAAAGATCTGATTCTGTATGAGTTCCCTTAAATCCCATTGGACCTAATAATTTCTGTAACTGTGATTCAAGGTAATAACTGAAAGTCCTCTGCTTTGATTTATCCTTCAGAAATCTCTGATACTCACTCCAAGCTTTTAGGCAGTTTGTGGGCAATTCAAGCTGGATTCAGTCAATTATTGACATTCTTCCCATCAACACTGTGTTTATGTGCGCGCGCGCGCGTGTGTGTGTGTGTGTGTGTGTGTGTGTGTGTGTGTGTGTTTGTGTTTAACAAGCCATTAACTATGTTCTGAGAAATCTAAAGAGAGCGTGATTTTCCAGAATAGGAAATACGAAGAATATTCCTCTTGGGAATGACTGATTTATTTGAACTATGTCAAGCATTTTAAAATATTTTTCCCACTTTCCTCCAATGAAATATTCATTGTACTTTGGAGATTGGTCTCTTAGATTAGTTTTTAATCCCCA